GAGTAGCTGGGATTACAGGCACGCGCCACCATGCCCAGCTCATTTTTTGTATTTTTAGTAGAGACGGGGTTTCACCATGTTGACGAGGATGGTCTCGATCTGTTGACCTCGTGATCCACCCGCCTCGGCCTCCCAAAGTGCTGGGATTACAGGCTTGAGCCACCGTGCCCGGCCCTAATTTTTGTATTTTTAGTAGAGACGGGGTTTCACTATGTTGGCCAGGATGGTCTCGGAGTCACCTCAAGTGATTGCCTGCCTTGGCCTCCCAAAGTGCTGTAATTTTTTTTCTAGAAGTGATCAGCTCCAAGATAGGAATTGAGCAGCAGATACAGGCATGGAGAAAGCAGAAAGATGGGTGTTTAAAGTTGCCCTAACAGCAAGCAGAAACAATACTGGGGAAAATGAAGTACAGACAGAACTACAGAGAAATAGATATTGGCAAGATGGTGGTGGAGAATTGAACTACGGAGCTCAAGCTGGATGGGAAGGGAACGGAAGAAAGATGAGAGTGAGTGAGAAGGAGAAAGCAGAAGGTTGAGTACAGCAGACATCCAGGTTGTATGCGAGAAAGTAGGAAACTGGAGTAGTGTGAGTAACAGTGAGAGCGCTACAAAATTGGGGGTTGAGGTCAGAGGATGAACTGTTTGAACTGAAATGCAATTTTGTTTTTTTTTTTGAGACAGGATCTTGCCCTGTCACCAGGATGGAGTATAGTGACATGATCACAGCTCAATGCAGCCTTGATCTCCTGGGTTCAAGTGATCTTCCCACCTCAGCCTCCTGAGTAGCTGGGACTACAGGTGTGTATCACCATGCCTGGCTAATTAAAACTTGTGTGTGTGTGGAGATGATGTTCCATTGTGTTGCCCAGGCTCGTCTAGAACTCCTAGGCTCAAGCGATCCTCCCACTTCAACCTCCCAAAGTGCTGAGATTATAGGTGTAAGCCACCACCCCCAGTCCTTAAATGCAGTTTTAATGAGGTCAGTCATATTAGTCAAGATAATCTCTATGTGCTGCAATAATAAATCCCAACTCTCAGGGGATTTACAGAATACAAGTTTAATTCTTGATCACATATAGTCCAATGCAGATGCCCCTGGTTAGATGGTTCTGATGGTGCCTCTCCTCAAAGCGGTAAATTAGGAACAAAGGCTTTTGATGGCTAGTGGCTCCTTGCATTCCAGCTCTCAACTCCAGCCTTACTTGTTGCTATAATACACTGATGAGAGGTACAATGGAAAGTGTGAAGGTTCCCATGATTCCTTCTTAAGCATTTCATCTGGAAGTGACACATATGACTTCTGCTCACATTCCAGACGTGAGAATCAGCCATACGGCCCCTCCTATGCTTTATCTTTCTGCTAAAAGAAAGATAGCAGGCCCCATCTTCTGTTTTCTCCATGCCTGTATCAGAGTTGCTCAATTCCTATCTTGGAGCTGATCACTTCCAGAAAAAAAGTTATAGTACTTTGGCAGGCTGAGGGAGGCAATCACTCGAGGTCTGCTCTGAGATGCAAATGGGTCTGGGAAATGTAGTCCCTGTTTAGAAAGTTCTCCAGCAATGACCCTATGGGATGGATGGCAGAATTCAGGAGTAAACTATGATTGTTTTCAGGGCAGGAAGAAAAGATCCAGTTCTGAGTATAAGATATCAGTAAGTAGGGATGGCATAGATGTCAACTGAATGGCAGGAGGCTCAAATAAATGGAGTTTTACTTAGGGCAAAGAGATAATGACTTGGAAATAATACTAGATCTCTTGGTGGCCTTTTGGCTAAGATCAAGTGCAGGAATGATACTATGGATGAGGGAGAACTTCAACCCCAAATCTCACCCTTAAATATATGGGGTGAGAGAAAGTGTACTCTTGGTGTGATAGAACAGTAGGGAAGGGATTATCCTCTGAGGCACTTTTACTGAAGAAGGATCTAGAGCATTTAACCTTGAGGTATAATGGAAAGGTTTGTGAAGGAAGAGCGTGATGGGAGTCTGGACCAAGGGGGAAGATGGATATAACAGTATAGAGGTGAGACTGTGCAGAGGAAGTAGACTAGGAGAACTGACATATTGGGTGCTGAACAAGAGCAGCTAGAATGTGTGGTGGGATGGATGTATTTGGTTACATAATTAAAAGACAATTGCTGGGTGTGGCGGCTCACACCTGTAATCCCAGCACTTTGGGAGGCTGATGTGGGTGGATCACTTGACATCAAGAGTTCAAGACCAGCCTGGTCAACATGGTGAAACCCCGTCTCTACTAAAAATACAAAAATTAGCCAGGCATGGTGGTGCATGCCTGTAGTCCCAGCTACTTGGGAGGCTGAGGCAGGAGAATCACTTGAACACAGGAGGCAGAGGTTGCAGTGAGCCAAGATCACACCACTGCACTCCAGCCTGGGCAACAGAGCAAGACTCGAGAGAGAGAGAGAAAGAATTCTTGCAATACTCTGAGGGTGGCAGGTGAAACTCAGTTCTCTTGGCTGCCATCTAGGTGGGTTATACTTCTGTATAATTTAGGTGTCTGGTAGATAAGAACATTACTTTGGAAAGAGCCATCCCTGGTTTTTTTTTTTTTTTTGAGAGTGAAATCTCTGGGGGATATTAGAAATCAGTGCTGGGAAATTCTAGAGAGGCTCCGTCATAACAGGAGGTCCTCAGGGCAGAAAGGCCTGCACAGGGAGGGGACATGTGTGGATTGGGAGTGGTAGGGCCACTCTGTGGCCCACAGAGTGAAAGGCTAGAATAAGGGAGATTCAAGGAGGCCAAGAGCAACCAGTCACGGTGGGTGGAAGAAAATTAGGAGGGTGTAGGGACACTGAAGCCAAAGTCGGCGGGTCGAATGATGCAGGGAAGTCCAGCGAGATGAAGCCTGGAGTGTCCGTTTGACTTAGTGCAAAAGTGACAAATGTCCTAAAGCCAAAGCAGACCCATAAATAATCAAACCCTGAAAACAGTTTGGAGAGAAAAGAAGACTCATAGAGTTGCATCATCCTACTATAAATGTTATTTTATTTTTTCTGACCCCTTTATGTCTGTCTTATGTGACAACATCTTCTATTTTTCATAAATGAGTTTTAGTAGCCATAGAATTTAATTTAGAGGTGATTTTTTTTCTACCCACTGCTGCCTTTTTCTATGTTCCTTAGATCACTTATATATAAATTTAAAACAGAAAGACATTGTCCAGTTGCATGCTAATTCTGGTTAAATCCAAACACGCCATACCTGCGCCATGGTGTTATTAAAGCTATAGTCAGCCCTGCCGTGTATTTCCCACACTATGAAATTTGCTTCAACGTCTTTAACATAGCCGTTATCATCAAATCTGAAAGAAACAGCAAACAGAAAGGTACTGGTTTAATATGAAATAGAGTGGTTAAGCATTCCAGCTTCCGAGTCAGATGTGCTTAGCTTTAAATCCTGTCTTTATCACTTTATAGCTTTGTGACTCTGGGGGAATTACTTAAACTCTTAATTCAGCGCCTTAGACCGCTCGGCCATGCTACCTACTGGCTAAAACTCTTGACGTCACGATTTTTTTTTTCTGTAAAATAATAACAGTACCTACTGTATAGGTGTCTTTTGACAGCTGGATGAAATACACAGATGTTATTTCATTCAGCTCTCAAAATAAAACATGATAGTAATGAAGGAGAAATGTTTTACTTTTTGACCAGCTGGAACTCTGAGTTCTCTTCCTTGGACAGGGGTCATCTGTTGATCAGGTGAAGGTAGCTTAGGCACTGCAGCCATGGGTGTTAGGAGGGAGAAAGACAGAAGGATGAGATGGATGGAGAAGGGGCAGAGCAAGGGCAGAGCAGGATGCCCTGGTGTCCTTTAGCTCATAGATTCAGTTGCTGCCTATTATGTACTAGATATGCTAGAGAATGAAACCACAGAATGACTATAATGGCAATGGAGAAGCTGCAGAGCCCCCTGGGAGGAGGAACCAGCTGGAAGGTGTGGCTGAGTCTGGAAGCATCAGAGGCATTGGTAAGCAGGGGCAGGGCTGAGAGGCGGATGCAGCCTGTGAGCTCCCTGGATCTATAGTCACGCCTCGCCCGTGCTCAGAGGATGGATGACGACTTCTGCCAACAGCAGGCACCGGCAAGGAGAGTCCGAGATGGACTGGGTGCCCCTGCCTTGACGCTGAGACTGGAGACACAGGCCCCATTGGGCTCCTTTACCTCAAACAGTGTGTTTTCAAAAGGGCTGTCGTGTTTCATAAGAATATATGTTTTACCTGCTGCCATGGGAGCACAGAGGCTTGAGATCAGAGCCAAAAGTTCACTTAGTGATGAAGTCGTGCCTTTGTATACCAGAACTTGCGACTGTAAGAATGGTTACATGTTTTCCTTCTCTGTCGGTTACTCGCATATTTATGAATGAAATTGGGTAGAATTTCACTTAGGACCTTAGCGTCAGGCACCTGCTTGGAGGCCGCTGGCTCTGGGACTGTTGCCCCATCTTCTGATAAAACTTGCTTCACTCACAGCTCTGTGTCCATGCACAGAAAATAGCATAGTGGCCTTGACAGTGGCCCCTAGTCACTGCCCACATCTCTGCTTCTATCGCAGTTGTATCAGGCCTTCTAGGGCTGCCACAACTTGCTACCATCCAACCCTTGTTATTAAAAGCATTTATTGTCCCATTCTCACAAACTGGGGACAAACATTTTAAATGTCAAAAACTGGTACCTGAGAGGTTATTTTCTGTCCATCCTATTTAGTTTTGAGAAATCATAAGGAAATGAACTCACAAGGTTAGTTCTCAAACAGGCGTGACTAGCTAGGGATTGGAGAGTGGGTGTTTGGCTTCCTTTCTGACGGGAGGAAGGCCACAGAGAATTGTAAAACTCTAATGAGAGCTCTGGGACCCTTTCGCTACAGACAAATGCACACATGTGTAGGCATACATGCGTTTTTGTATAGTGTCAGGGATTTGGGTCAGGCTTTAGCAAAGCTCTAATTCTAGCAGCTTTGGAAAGAGCAGGATGTTTGCACCTTCCAAAAGTCATCAGACTCTCAAATCATTATTATTTATATGTATTTTAGAGATGGGGTCTTGCCCTGTTGCTGAAGCTGGAGTGCAGTGGCACAATCATAGCTCACTATAACCTCTAACTCTTGGGCTCAAGGGGTCCTCCTAACTTTAGGACTACAGGTGTGCACCACCACACCCATTACGTTTTACATTTTTTTGTAGAGATAGGAAGTCTCACCATGTTGCCCAGGCTCATCTTGAACTCCTGACCTCAAACCATCCTCCCGCTCCGCTTCCCAAAGCACTGAGATTACAGGTGTGAGCAACCATGTCTGGCCATATTCTTAAATTATTAAGAACTAGTTGCAAGCCGTATGTTTTATTTAAAAAAATCTTTTTTTTTTTTTTTTGAGATGGAGTTTCGCTCTTGTTACCCAGGCTGGAGTGCAATGGCGCGATCTCGGCTCACGGCAACCTCCGTCTCCTGCGTTCAGGCAATTCTCCTGCCTCAGCCTCCTGAGTAGCTGGGA